AAAATAACCAGGCACAGCGAATTCATTATTTTCTAATCTTGAACTTTCTGCTTTACACCCTGTCACCCTGATATTGCTCTCAGATAAACTACTTTTCTGAATGACTTCATTATCTCATTGCCAGTCTTCACCTATGCCCTCTGAAATACATGTACACTCTCTGCAAAAAGAGTTACAAAAAAGAGAGAGGGATCAGGATCATGATACCACCAGTTTAGTATACAGTTGCAGTACCGCGCGGTAGATGCGGAGAGCAATACTCATACAAACAAACAAAAAATGATAATGATACAGCAAAAACTTATCTGATGCAGTAATTGAGCGAGGAATTTATAAAATTCATGCAACAGATGCTAGGACTTTCATTTTTGCCAAATCAGATGAGTTCATAAAGATAAACTGTAATAAGCAGCTAAACAAGAAAAGGATGAAATAAATGAAGAAATAGGCAATGACCTCAAGCACCCAGATGCTTATAAGAGATTCCAAGGTAAACAGTGCAAAACCGAAAAGATAAAGCACCTGCAGTACTCCAAAAAATCTGACTATTAGTTCTCTCAGAAGGGATTTCACTTAGCTTAAAGGATCATGAACTGAGATAAAAATGTTATTAAAAAATAAAATAATGCAGGACAGCTTACGCCAGCGAATATATCTCCATCTAAAACTTCTATTGCAACAAGAACACCCCTGATTTAGTAAAGAAATGGTGGTGAGAAATCGCAGAGGAAATTCAGAAGAAAAAAAATAGAACTTTACTAATTATACTCACGTGAGAGTTTTTCCCCTAAATATTATTGGAGGAGCAATTGCAGCAATGACACAAAATCCAACATGCACCTGGCACATATCAAGCCATTGTGATGCTCAGTACATAGAATTCCATTATATGATCAGAAGATGAAGAGTGAGAAAACTTTTCTAATTGAAAAAGTGAGAAAATTCAAGCTATGATAATATATTAATAGAAATTTTACTGTTCTAGAATTTTCCAAGATTTTAAATTTGAGATTCATGAAACTTGACTAAACACAAAAAATTACCGAGTAGAAGACGAAGAACTGGCCGAAGGTTACCATGCTGTCAGTTCTGGACAACAGATGGCAGAGAACCAAGTTCAAAATTTGCATATCTATAAAGTGCTGTTTAATAATGACTGAAAGTTGAAATAGTTTGAAGAAACCTCATCGCACGGTACAGAGGTCTGTACCAAAGTATGTATGAAAGAGGACACCCGGATATTGCATAGATTACAGCGAGGAGGAAAATAACGATGTCTGCAAATCAGAAATCTATCAGGAAAAATGTACATATATACTGAAGAGGATTGACTGGACGTTGAAACATTGCTCACCATCAGTATGAATTGATTCCACCAACACAGCAAACAGATTCCAAACGAGACAGGCAATCAGTCCTGGAAAAAAGAACCAACACAAATGATGAACTCTATGAATGGCAATTCAGGGTGAAAAAAATATCAGCTATGATTTCAATAAATAGGGAAAGATATATAGGTTCAAAGTCAAGTACCTAGCCAGCTAGCAAACGCCGTGTATTGCAACTTTTGAGCATGGATTGGTATTTCGCTGGCTATATCATGATGTATGATGGGATAGAACTGCGGCCAATTTCTCACTTCCACAGTGACACCAGCTGCGCAAACAAATGAATCTTCAGTACTCTGACGAAACTGAACACACTGAAGCATAAAGCAAATGGTATAGTAGATCTACCTCTGTTCATTGCATCCTCCCTCCGTTTAATATCCTGCAGCAAATCCCACACTTTTTAGGACTTGGTTAACAAAATCAACACAGAGAAAGAGTTCTATACCAATTAAAATGAACACATGCAACCTAAAAAATTCTAGTTGATTATGGAAGTGATCTCATAGGATCAATAGGAATGAAAAGGTGTTCGACTGAACCTGTTCCCGCCGTTTCAGGTCCTGCTCCCATGACAGCAGCTCCCTCTCCTTCTTCTTAGGATCCTACAAGCAACAGAACACCATAAGACAAGGATAAAACATCATGCTAATCTTGTAAGAACACCAAGATTATGTAGTGTGCATCGACTTTCAGTACAAGAACATTGAACAATTCAATAATGTACCCCGAGGGGAATGTCGATGGTTGCGCCATGCTTGCCGCTTCCTCCGAAGCCTGCCGGGAGCCATGATTTCCTGGACGGCACAGAAGCTGGTGGTGTTGTTGCTGCTGCTTTCTGAAAGGCATTGCAAATGATAAACTGATAATGTTATTTTGCTGCATTGACACCCTGACTAAATTCATGAATATATATGATGAGCGTTGCATGGATGAGATAGAACCCATGAGGAATGCAAGATCTAGCATTAGATGCTTCTGATAAATTTCAATTCACGTATCAATAGTTCCTTGCAGCCAGATCAGAATGCAAAAGAATTTACCAGAAATCCCAAACGTTCCCAACCAGAGGAACATTGGTGCATTTAGAACAATAATCTAGAGGTATTGATGCAAGATCATCCAACAAATGACTTCTTCCAAGAGAATAGATTGAACTATAGAAAATCGATGTTTATAAATGAAATGATCATTGGAAAGAATATGAATTTGAGTGACCATGAATACCGCGGTAGGGTTGACATTTTCTTCGTCGAAGGGATTGTTGTTACGAGGCATGGAGAAGATCAATCACTTGCGTGAATAAATCCTGGCGTCCTTTGGCCTCTGGGATGACCCGGAATCTGAGTGGCCTAATGATTTTTGTGTGGCCAGTGGAAAGAAGTTATTTTCAGTTAATGCCCGTTTTTGCACTTTGGTCCTTGTCAGCGTCCAGGTCATGCCGATTTGCCCCTCTACTGACAGGCTTGGGCATTTCTAAATGGTAGTTTAGGAAATTCACGTCATGGATAACCAAGAGGCCAGAAAAATGCTTGCATTTTCTTTTTGCTCACTTCGATACAATGCATCAGTGATCCTACCCACAAGACCACAATCAAGTTGAACTATGACTTGAATCAGGTACATGCATTTTATTACTGGGGCTATTGCATTTTTACCCACGTTTTGTATTGAAATTGTGATTTTGTCCCTGTTTTTTTTTTTACTTTGTGAATTTGTCCCTGCGTTTTCAAAACAAAGCACTACTTTGCCCCTATTCCGTCATCCTCCCCTAACGGTGTTAACATTTGTACAAAATGACAGAAATGCCCATATGATTTTGCCCCCGTTTGTTATGTCTATTTGTGATTTTACCCCTCATTTGGAATTAGACATTTATATTGTAATGTTGACAAAAATGATTACATTTGATCAAATATATTTGGCACAACTTGCAATTATTTCAATTCAGATTTAATATTGAAAAAATATTCAAAATTTTGGCAGCACATTGGCAATATTGTATAATCTTTAACAAGGAGGAGTTCACTGGAACATAGGCGCCATCAACTCAACACAAACTAGTTTTCGAAAAAGAAACACAAATCCATAACACGCAGCACTGCCGTATCCATGCAAGCATGCGGATTCGTCTCGAAATAGTCCAACGCGGACCGCATGTAGGCGTCCGTCATGGCCCCCGCGGCGCCGTGCACCAACCGCACGGCGCGCGGTAGAGAGCCAGAGACGACGCCAGCTCCCCCGCGGGGCACGCGGCGCTGGTCAGCACGATAGCGTTGGGCGTTGGCAAAGTACCCTGCGGGGAGCGGAACCGCGGCCGCCCATCCACCGCCAACAGCAGCTTGCTCCGCCGCGACGGCCGTATCCCCAGCGCCCGCTCCACACGAAGCCGGCCAGTGCCTTTTAACGTGGTGCACGCACGGCCCTCCAGCGCCACCGCCGCCTTGACGCGCGCGATGGACGCGGGCGTGAACCGGAACGAGCGGTGCTGGGTGCATGAGCGGGGAGTCCGAGTCGTCCTCGTCCCCGTCGCCATCCCCGTCGTCGTCGTCATCGGTGATCTGGGCGAACTCGTGGTGCGGGAAGAACGAGACTGCGGCGTGCGCCCCTGAGCCGGACCCGGACGAGACCCGCGGCCGGGCATCGCCGCCGCCCGGCGCGCGCAGGATGAAAGGCTACGGCCGCCCCCCGCGCCCCAGAGCAGCAGCCACACTGCGCAGGAGGCCCGAGGCCGGGTGGCGCCGCCGCACCGCGCGCCCTACCTCCGGTGCAGAAGCCGCCGCCGAGGTCGGCTGTGCGCCCGCTAGCCCGCGCCAGATGCGCCCGTGCCCGATGCAGCCTGGGTCGGATGAGGAAGATCCTAGAGATAAGGATAAGGGGCAGTGTGGTCATTTCGCCTTTCATTTTTAGATTTGAATTTTTTTTAAATCATTTATTTCCTGTCCATCTAAGGACATCCAAACAGGGGGTAAACGGATCGTTCATTTCAAAATAGTAGGGGTAAAATCATAAAATTAAAAAAAGCAGGGATAAAATCACAATTGGAGCACTGGTAGGGGCAAGATCACAATTTTCCCTTTATTATTTATTTGAACTTCTGAAGTCATTAAAAACATATTGATCTTGTAAGAACATGAAGATGCAAACGGATACACAACCAAGAAAGCAGATAAAATGCTCAATGAACTCCCCGGAAGACTTGCAAAAATTCTGAATCAAAGTACCGAACTGAAGCACATGGATCCCAGAAATAAATTAAACTGGCTCAGCAAGGAAAATGTTTGGATCATGGATCTCCAGAAAAATAAAACTTCTGAGATTAAATTGCCCTCAGAATTAATTCCGTACTTTTCATATTCAGAGTTGGATTTCAATACACATATAGCTTGTATCGACTCTGAGGGGGGGGGCATAATTCATCTATAGAAAAATCAACCCACAGTTAACACAGGATTATTAAAAAGTCATCCGAAAAGAGGATGATCATCAAAGGTAATATTTTGCCCTCAAGCATAGTACAAAGTACACTAGCAGAACTTGTGAAACAAATGTGCATGCACAAACTCCTCAACTCCAAACTTCTGCAGCGGTAAACGGCAGTATCTTCCCTATTTAGTGATGGTGAACTTGAACATAACGGAGACCGCAGTATTTGCATACATTAGGTGCCTCCAGATCAAGGCAGATATACTCGATCGGGTGGCCAAGTCCAACACCTTCAGAAGCTGAAACAATGCAGCAAGCACACAGGTAAGTCAGTTTTACATAAAATGTATGATATGATCATCAGTTTGAGAATGTGCAAGATAAATAAAGTTTGCATATTCAGCTTTGGTGCCTACCCCCTTCACAGACGGCAATGCGACCATCAACCTTGATTGGAGGTACCTCGTTGATCAGTTCCATTGGTGACTTCTTGCTCGTGTCCTAAAACAAATAAAATTAATGAAAGAAAATTTGATTGGGAAGAAAAGTGATCCATATGAGAAGGGAGGGGAAAAAAAAGAAAAGGTCTGCAACTTCAGCAAATATCATAGCAACCAAAAAGCTAAAATTTTATCATGGTCTCACAATGATAAACTATTAAACTGGATGAGGACTCAGGTAGTCAGGTGGCAAGGCTCATCTCATGTGTGATTGGCCCAGGGTTCAAATGCTGGTTTTAATTTTCCAATACTAACTGATGCTACCCACCAGATATAGATACAAATCCTGGAGTAGTTCCAAGTTTCAAAGATATTTATTGGAAACTACAGAATTAATAAATCATTTCCGGTAGTCATTTTGTTTCTACTAACAAGGAACTTTGGTCTTCACGCCACTCGATAAATCATTTCAGGAACATTCAGCATGCAGGATAGTGCTTGATGTGAATTGTGAAGTCATCATAATAGGGCGTACCCAGTGCAGAGAGCTCGGGTCTGGGGAAGGGTGTCAGTGGCAAGCCTTACCCTCGCCTGTGCAATGCGAGCAGACCGTGACTTGAACCCAGGACCTTCCGGTCATAGGCGGTAAGACTCTACCGCTTGCACCAGGCCCGCCCTTCTGAAGTCATCATAATACTAGAAGAAAAACAAAATATAAGAGCCATGTTGAGAACCTGCTTTGTCTGCTTGCTCTGTAACAACCACCTACCTTTCCTAAGTGAAAAAAAAACTTGTTTCATGTGATCAACAATGGAAACTCATCTCAACACACAAAAACATAATAACCTACAGGACATGTTAAACATGTAGCGCGAAACTGTGCAATTCGAACATTCATCAATAGTGAGCTCCCATTCATCAGCTCAAACCTATACACATTGCATCAAGATGATAGCTTCCTTAGGAATCAGCTAAATAAAACCTAAATTTCATCTGCAAACCTATATAAAATGAATTGCTTCAGAAAACAGTTCTTATATTATCTAAAGGTGCACCCATAGGAATCAACTAAAAAAACTTAAATCTAATCCAAGCATAACTGAAGTCTGCAAACCAATATAAATACATTCTTTTACTTCAGAAAACAGTGCTTATTACCTAAAGGCGCCACTACATGTTAAGCTTATAGGTACTGCAGAAAAAACTATCTATTCCATTCCCAGCTCCTTGAAGGCACATAGCTATGTGAACAAGGCACGATAAACAAACTGTCATATAGAAGCTGTGTCTACCAGAACTGCAAGTCACTAACATGATCCTATAGCCCTTCACAATGCTACTAGCCAACTACTACAGTAAACCATTGCATGGGCATCAAAGCATACTTAGTTTACCAATGATAAAGAATATGTGATCTCTCATGGATTCACATACGCTAGCAATACAATGATGCCTGGTAAATATAAAAAACAAGACCTGCAGATCTAACCAGGAACAGACAGAAACGTCGACATAAAACATGCATCCAGCAGCTTGTAAGAACTAATCGATTATCAGGACTCCTCAAGCGCATCAAAATGTCTCAACAACACCCAGGACGACATAAACTAGAAAAGGGCAGTGAGCCAGTTAACCGGCGCAGGCTACACACCGAGCATAACCACCACATGCGGACCCCTAAAGGCGCGGTCTTCCCCGCCGAATCGGGCAAGAACCACACGGAAATGGTCTGGGTTCGCGAGGCCAAGGCGGATCGGAATCTAGAGATTGTGGGGGCACGGTGAGGAGAGGGATACATGTATACACACACCTGCATCCACTTAGCGGTGTGTCTGCCGACGACGGCGGCGGCGCCCACAGCCTTCTCCGTGGAGAGGCCGCGCGCGCCGGCTGGAGCTAGGGTCTTGAGGAGCGCGGGCAGCAGCCTCCGCGTCGCGGTCGCCATGGCTGGGGAAGGTTAGCGAGCGAGGTGAGCCTGGGGAATTCGGGAAAGAACAAGGAGGAGGAAGAGAAAGAGGAGGGCCCTTTTCTGCGGATGTACCTACTGGGTCAAGCCCGGCCCGTTTTGGCCCAATTTGTGGTATGGGCTTCTCATGCTGGGCTACTAATATGTCATGAGGCTAAGAGAAGAAAGGTAGGCCCAGAAAATAATGGATTGAAGGGAATTCAGTATGGGCTCTAGTTAGTTTGATGCTAGTCTTTTCTTTTTCCTGATGGAGCACAGCAGTCAGCAGACATACAAAGCACACTCACCTTGTAGACGCTCACTCGAGCTACACTTTGGAGACAAGTTTGCATTTGTAACCTCAGTGCAAAAGCATTCGGCCCAAGAAGTTTTCAAATCACAACCTTGGCAACTTGAGTTAAAAATACGTCCTCTGATTCTGCAACTCTCCTGATGACCATGAATTGGTTGCTGAGCTGAGCTGGTCTCGGTCTCTTGCAGCTAGCTCCGTTCTTGTTGCATGGTGCATTGCTTGCATCAAGATCAAGGCACCAACTTGCATTGAGACCCGACACCCTCCTGCAGCAAGACCCAAACATTTCAATCTCTCGTGATCAGATCACGGCTCGCCACTTTGTCCGGTCAATTTGGTCTTATTAGACTTCTGCTTGTCTGTTGTCTCCCACCGGCCCTCAAGTTGCTCGTCCTCTCGCGCACGTGCACGCACGTGCGCGTGAGTCCACGACAAGCGGACCAAAGTTCAATGATCCCACTTGTCAGCGAGTAATCATACGGGGAGTATCTCCTGGTTAATGACTATGCTCAAATCATATGCATCGCGAGTAAGTGTAATCGCATCATTACAATATTTATCGTTCTTGGGATTCCGATACTAAACAACCGTTGGAAGATCACGGTCGCTTTGCACCAGAGGATTCGATGCTGAGTGGCTCAAGGGTGGTAACGATGCAAGTGCCCAGTTTTCTTTCGCATTATCATGCATGCATGCACCTAAGCATTTGTTTAAGTGGCCGGCCACATGCTTGGTGTGTTGGCGGCTTGGAATAATCCCCATGTCTTGCTGGTGGCAGAGACCAGGGGATAGGGCGCAGCCTTTGTTTGTGAGTGTATTCTATTGGAAATAGAATCCTGATGCCATTAGGGTTGCCGCAATGGTGTTAACGACGTAGCTAGCTTATGTAGAGGTGAAAGACAAAAGCAAAGACTATTTTATATATTTTTATTTTTCTATATACTATTGGACCCCACATGTTCCTCTCTCGTATTCTTGGACTACGTGAAATAGATTAACTATTTGTTCGTCGCTAGTGACTACTCTTTCTCCTACTTTTTTCTATCCACGTCAGAGTAGCTAGTCAAATAGCTAGCTGTTGGGGGACGCCCTTACCATTAGCTAGGTGGACGACTGCCTGCACAATGCACAATACACAATGCCATTAGCTAGGTTGGTTGAATCTATCTAGGTCTTGAGGTGTTGAAACTGCTTGAGCTGAATTTATAGCATGGTATGGGAAGACGGGGGTTGGGTTGATGGAAATGCTCAGCCAGTCAGTCAGGAGCAGAGCATACAAGTGGCTGCAATTGTGGATCGTTTGCATCCAGTGTAGGAGAGTGCTTCTTTTGGTTTTGGCATGACAGGACTCTGTATATGCAAAGCAATGTTAGAGCCTCTTTGGCAGAGCTTCTCTGCTCGGGCTCTGTCGGTGAAGCCGAAGCATTCAGCTAGAGCAAAAAAAAAAGTAGCTTCATCTCTGTACAGACAAAATGGCTCTGGCTCCTCTTTCATGGGTGAAGAAGCACTTCTCCTTGTTTCGTGTGGCTCCTCTTACCATGGTGTTGGAGCTATCGACGGAGCCAAAGCCAAAGTCGCACCAAGTAGACCCTTAGTTTGATTGTGTATAAAATTGGAGCGGGGGGGGTTTTGCTTGCTATAGTACTTGGGTTACCCTGAGATACTAGTCTCAAGGAATCATAGCTATTGATTTTTGAATTTGTCAAAACTTAAATAATCATAATAATCAAAAAGTAAAAAGTAAAGTCTCACTCCTTGCCAGCCTGTTCGTTTGGCTGTGGCTTGTCGTAAACGATCGTAAATTTTTAGTCGGAACAGTATTTTTCTCTCACACAAACCAGCCAGCAGTACTTCTTCACGAACCAGCAACGATATGAACCAGCCAACCGAACAGGCTGATATCCGGCCCTTCTTTTTTACGGAGGTAAACCTTACTTTTGTAGAAAGCAATTGAGCTTAAAGCAACAGACTCAACCAAAAAAAAAGAAGAAAAGAAAAAAAAACATCGATACTACTCTAGGTTCAGAAACATCATCAACGCAACGCCCTAGCGAGATACCCAAACAACAGCATACCACAAAAAGAAGGAACCAAAGAAGAATGACCGCCGACACCTAGCACAAACCTACTTCTACTGAAGAGAACTGCGCAACTTCACAAAATGCCTTCTACTTCGAGATCTTTAGTTTGCCTCCAAAATTCTTTCAACCACGTATTCATTCTTCTTATCTTGTTGTCCAAAAAATCTAGCATCTCCATCCTTCAGTAAAATTCGCCATTTCTGTAAGAATGTAAAAAATTTGCAGAAAACTTCATTAGACGAGCTCAGGAACCTTTTCTCTATCCCCATCTTATTCCTAACATTCCAAATACCCCACAGAACAATAGAACATGAAAAGCTTAATGTGATAATCCATGCATCTTAGGGGAATCCAGTAATAAAAAATATCCTACAAATTGTTAGGCACACTTTCCCACCCTAAGGCCTCCTTGAAGCAAAAACATAAGACTTTTGCTATATGACAGTGAAAAAATATATGATCAGTAGTCTCATTGATCCCACACAGACAACACTTAATGCTCACCTCCATGCTCTTTCTTTAAGTTTACTCCCGTTTGTATTACATCTTGTGTGTAGTCAACTAGACAGATATCTTGAGTTTATTTGGAAGTCTACTCTTCCAAAGTTTCATCATCCTTCTATTGGTTATACCTCTAAAAGTTAGTCTTCTGTGGATGGATCTAGTGGTATAGTCCCCTGATTTGTCCAAAGACCAAACAAACTTATCTTCTTCTTCATTGAGCCGACAATCTTCTAAAATCTCCATTTACCTTTCCCATTCTAACATATCCTCATTTTCTAACACCCTCTAAAAACTAACGTTGCATCTGTGCCCCTCTCAATAGTCACTCACTAGCCATTTCTTATCACCACATAAGTAGAAAAGATAGGGAAACTCTAGTTTCAAGGGAATATCCCCCAACCTATATTTCTTCCCCAAAAAAATATTATGTCCTCCCTCATGAGCGGCTCTTTTCCTTATCTAGACATCACTTATCACGGAACGTGGAGGGAACACAACCGCAAGAAGTGCAAGTGTTGGTTCATAGAATCCAAGGGAAGTACTTTCACATGGGTAAAATTTGAAGCAAACATGAAATTTTGTAACAAATAACACTTTATCATCACTCATGAAGATTCGAAGAACATGCATAAGAGTCTTGGTCCACCAAAACTGTTTGTATAGCACAATTTTGAGTACATGCTTGCACGAAGGATCATGCTAAAACAATGTGGAGGACTATCTACAAAGCTACTAGGTTAACTCCTCCATGTATCCCATAAGTTAGGGAGTTAGCTATCAAGTTTTAATTTTAAAAGAGAAGACATATATTTTGGTTGGGTAGCCATATTATTTGGGGTAACTTGGAGATGTCGTGAAGGTCTAATCTTTAAAAATTGCAAATATACATCTTTTATGCAGGCCATTTTCAGGGGGAATGTACTGGCCATGGTTTTTTGGGCATCGTGCTTCTACGTGATGATGAAACAAAGGAGTCTTTCCAATTAGCGAGCAGAAAATTAGAGACCACTGCGTTGAAGTTGTTCGCCTTTCACGGATGGAAATTTAATAATAGGCTTTGTCATGTATAGTTTTACATTCCTTGTTTTCCTGATTCATCTGCAATGTCGTTAAAACTATGTAATAATATAAACGTTGTATGTGGACACGTAGAGACGGGATGTTTCTTCCATTTTTCTAGAAAATGCTTAGACGAAGGAAACAACAGAGGGACACCTCATATTTCATTCACTACAAAATTCATACTTATAGAAGTACCATTTTAGATTTTTAAAGCGTAGATTTAAACATGTTCCATTGCAACATGGGAGTCAAAGAAACATGTTCTCTTTTTTAAAAAAAGTAATTGGACATGTGTCATCGAAATGTTATGTATGATTTGACTGTTGTTTCTAAGTGTAGATCAAGAAGTGGATGGGTTATTTTAACTAAAGTCGCAAACATTGGCATGCAACAATTTAGTATCGAAGAATGTAAAGCTCTCAAAGTAAATTGCACGAAAGGAAATTGAGCACTGTTGACACCAGGGGTGGCACACACATAATAGACCGCAAGCGCACGGTTGTTAGAGTAGCTTTTCACCAAGGAGTAATCCCGGGTTTGATCCCCGACAACGGCGCCAAAAAAGCTTGTTGACACCAGGTGTGGCACACATAGAATAGACCGCAAGCGCACGGTTGTCAGAGTAGCTTTTCACCAAGGAGTAATCCTGGGTATCGAATCCACAGGGAACGAGGAGTGATCTAAATCTAGAACTAATAGATTCCTATGGATGTTGGGGAGGAAAGGAGTAGAATACTATGGGTTCTGTAACTATTGCTTGAACAAGGAATAGTAAATATCAACTGTTTACTTTGGGGCACAGCCCGCCTACCAATCAGGAGGGTTAACTAGACAAGGTCTGCCACGAGCCCTACGATTTAATGACTAAGCCCATCATGGTGAAATATAGAGGATGGACAAGATTGTCACCACTTGCCACCTATCACTATCTATCCGGAGACTTAGCCGCAAACACAGGTAAGGTATAGCCTAAGCACCATGCTTAATCTATGCACTTACTACTCTAATCTGGATCCCGATGAAATAATACTAGAGCACTC